TTCTAAAAATATATACTTTCCCGGGTCTATTTGTAGTCATTTAGTCACAATTAGAAGATGAAAACAAGTATGCAAATAATAGTCCCGCTACTTTAAACCCAAAGACGCTTGTCTTTGGTTTTTCACGATATCAAGATCTTGTAAATATTTAGCTGGATTTTATGTGTTGTATGAATTTTTAATATTAGCTGAAGTCAATACTTAGATGACTTCCTGGTTTAAAGTTTTATCGGTATTTTTATGAATACAGTGTTCTTTGTATTTAAAGCATTTGACGTAAATCAGCTTCTGAACTTGAGCAAGGCTCCCCACATAGAGTCCACTAATGAATGATCCTGCAGCCATACAGTCATTTGAATTGTCTCCCAAATGAGTTTGTGGCACATTAAACTCCAGGTAGCTATTGAACGACTGTTTGTGGGTCATATGCAACTACCACACTGCTATGTGATTGTTGTGTTGTACACATTTTATTGTCAGTTTTGAGGAGTATGTAAGGTAGTATGGTATAGCATATTTATAGGCGTATATAGTAGTGACAATATTTTGTGTCTAAATCTGTCTGCAATTATTCGTTTTAGTATTAATCAACCGTATGTGAACTTTTTTAGTTCACTGTCAATCAGTTTTTTGAGGTATAATAATAGCATAAAATGCCATTTTAGCAGCAGTTTCCATACACCACAATGACTTGTTAAAATCCCACTAAAAATATTGTATCTTGTAAGAAACTATACGTCCTACTTTCACCATGACTCACTGAACAAAATTGAGATATAACCTTGCCATAAGTAACAATGGTAATATTCTCTAAAAAAACCACAAAACATGCTATTTTTTTACTGTGTTTTATTGATCAAATTTTTCCAAACCGAGTACCGTGACCACATAATTTGATTCATTTTCATCCTTGTGACATGAAATATTAAAATATATGAAGATGAAGAAATATTTTGACTTTTGCGTAGCGTTCTATCTTAAGCATGTCATTTCGTTTATTCTTTCATTATTACAAATGACTTATAATGTCATTTAGAATACAGAAAATATATAAATTGTCGTAATATTCAGTTTATTAAGTTTCCAGAGTAATAACAATTTTCCACATTTTTGAGAATATACAATAGAAAGTTATATCCCATAATGCACCACACAAGCACAGTCGTGACCAAATTTGAATTTGGCTTAAACTGCTTTCAACTGTACTTCCATCTGCTTCAGTCATCTTTTAGTATAAAAAAATGTTGTAGTTTCAATTCATAGAATATATGTTATACTCACAAAAGATCCCTTTAACTGGAAGGTTGCATTCTGTTTGTCAACTGTGTACTTGGGTAATGGTGGACGAACACAGATACTATGATCATGACTCTGTTTAAAACAAAATACATATCGATGACATTATTAAGGTGGCATAAAAAAAATATTTAATTTTATTTGCGTTTTAAACATTCAATACCAAATTTTAAGCACTGGAGTGAGTGAGTGCTTTTCGAGCCAGGTGTGTAACAAATGAGCTGAGGTTTGAAACACTCAAGTTAAATAATATACAGGTTTTTACATTATTTTAATATTAGAATATCTTAACATCTTACCATGGTTTCTATGACAACTGTTAGATCCTTGCTATTGGTTAAAGCAACAAAACTGCCACCTTTATCAAGATGACTAACACCGTGGCCATGTGGATAATAGTACCATCCTGGCTTCGTAAACTGTGAAGTGTGAGCTATGTGGATCGAAGCAAATTTATTCAGTGAAAGAAGTTTGAGTTTTACCGTATTTTATGGTGGCTCTAAATTCTACAAGTGCCGCTTATTATATAATTCCCACTTTATTTGCACATGGGAATGAATACGAGTCAAAACTAAGTTTAATTTTTCTGATCCTGTGTACGATAAATTAAAATTTCTGTATTTGTGACCTTATTTTTATAGATGTGTTTCTAATAGTGTAAATACAGTTTTCCAGATGCACTTCTAATAGAGCTAATACTGTGATGTGCTTCTACATAGAACAAATATAGTATAGCAATAGAGAAATGCCTGAATCAGTTCATTGATATGAAAATTAGTGAATTAATCATTAATTAACCTAATTAACCAGAAATTAAGAATTTTTTTTAATAATTAATCTTAAGGGTTGATTTCTTGCACAAGTTATCAAGAAATATTAAAATAAGTTCATTTTAGGTCATCTAAATGGGCCACTTTTGTCACCAAGGTATAACAAGATTTGTTCGTATATTTAAGGTTATTGAAGCTTGAACACATAAAAAAAAGAAACATAGTACAATGACATGTGTTTTGAAAGTTTTATGTAATGAAAGCACTGGTTGAATGTCTATATCGGTCAGTTTTCAAAGGGTCACATACCATATATGGTTAAAATATGCATTTTTAATGAGGTCATGTGATCATGAATGTCATTCAATATGTTGATCAGATCTATTGTGCTTCAATAAAGCACTGGTTGAATCAATCTCCCAGGCAGAGTTCTATTCCACGAATATATCTCTGCCACCACGCGATCTTATGCTTGTCGTTTATTGGTCGATGCGTCACAGCGGTACTACTTTCAAAGACGCTCATCAAAACATTGCCACGCAAGTGTTCGATTTTCGAACCCAACGAATGTGTACGCGTTGTTTACAGATTTTGGCTGTTTTTAAAGTTAGAAGCTTCTTTTTTTCTTTCTGTAACACAAACGATGTGATAGTAGGACGATTTAGTCGTCAATACTACGAAGTGCTTTCGTTTGTTCATATTTCTTCGCATGGCAATCGACAGGACGCTCAGTTTGATGAACCGAGTAACACCTTAGTAACCGTTATTCCGCGATGAAATTATTTTCTTTTGTAAATTATAACTATATCACCGTTTTCAGTATGTTTACGAAAAAAACATTATCAGCTATCGATAAAATATTTTAAAACTTGTTTACTAGAATGAAGAAATCAACACGAGAGCCCTCTAATAACCAAAATACGCGAATGATACGCGTAGTATAAGTCTTGTGGTGTTTCACCACAAAATGGCGGTGTGTGGTGGCAGATATACTTTCGGTGATCTAACCGCAAGGAACTCTGGGAAGGAGAATGTGATTAAATGTCTCTATCTGCAATCGTGCTCCAGATATGACTTTGTATGTATGTATATACAGACAGACGAGGGTAACCTCTATATCACCCATCTGCACTTTGTGCCAGGGCATAAAAAGATAACACTGAGATTTATCTACCTGTCACGTAGATAGGGCTAGCGACCTCATAATGACCACTCCATGGCTCAATGGCTGTCATTAATCCATCTCGTTCCCAGTCTATTTTGTCATAGTAACTAGCAATTAAATTCCATGATATGGTGCTTGTCATGTGACCATTCACATAATTTTGATTCAAAAGCTGAAACAAGAAAAAAAATATATATATTTAATTTCTTTATCTCCAATCTTACTTCCAACATTATTTTTTTAAATAAATTTAATGTTCTGTATCTAGGCCAATAATGGTACATTGTCTACAAAATTGTTATTATTAACAGACTTATTATAGTGGGTTTACCCTAGCCCAACATCCACCACCGACATTATCATTAAATGTACTATAGTCTTCTGAGGACCACAGCGGTTTATTGGTTTTCAATGCATCAGGGACAGTCAGTGTACCAGTATAATGAACTCTGAAATGAAGAGAATAATTAAACACAATTTGCTTGTGTTAGGGTCATCTAACACATTATTCAGAGGTTTTCCAAGACAGCGTTGTACGAGTTCACTGAGGCGTATTGATAATATAAAGTTTATAACAAGAATACAGTATTTTGATGTGATTCCATACTGCCTGAGTGCATACTTTGCAGTATTCTCATTCCTGCTTGTTTATTTATGAGATATAAAATGAGAGCAAATTGCAAATGGCAAACATTTTCTTTCAGTGATGAGATTCTATTCGATGTCAATATAACCTTAATGTTCAAGAATATACAGAAGCTTCAAAGTAGAAAAACTACATAAGTTAACAACGTGGACGACACTCCGTTTTCAAAATGGTAACAATTGTGTAATTATGTACTTACCCAACAATATCTACAGTGTTAAAAAATACTTTGTCTTTGAGAAGATCATCCACAATACCCCAATGACTATCAGATGCTACAATCTTGACATTGTTTAACCCATTACTGTCTAGAGTTTTTCTTAATGTCTCCACATACGTAATATTATATAATCTTTCATTCCAAATCTGGAAACAAACAATTTGTCACATCTCTCAAAATATTATAATAATATTTGCTTTAATTTTATCATATTTGCACTAATTTGCATTTAATGATATGTAGAAAAAATAATTCCTGTATATAGATATGATACAATAAATACATTTTTTTTTTATTTTTGTGCACTTGTGGTACAGTTATGCCCTGATGCAGCAAAAGGAAGAGAATGCTATAGACTGGACAACTACGTATTTCTTTATTCATTCGTTTTGAAAGACCGTTTAAAGGCAAGATTGTAATTTTTTTCTGATCATTGAACCTGTAGATCTGAGCAACTCAAATAAAAACTTGCATATAACTCGCCATTACTAAGCAGATAACTTGATCAATCACAGAAACTAAAAGTAACTACCAGTAATCTATAAAATAAATAATAAACTAAAATTTTGAATACCCAAACAAAGATCTTACTTTAATCAGATTATCAATGAAAAGTAAGTTCCTAAAAATAGATACAATTTTCAATGAAATTTGACAAAAATCTGCAGAGATTATCATAATTTTGATTTTGACTACATCCTATGTTCACAAATACTGAAGAATATTTTATTTTTAGTGAAAGTGAATCACCTTTAACCAATTATTTAATTAATTAACAATTTATTTAAACAATTATTTGATTTTTTCTGAAATTCCTCAGGAATGATTAATTTTCCCAAGAATTCTAACACAAAACTTTAAAAAGGGCTTTGGCATGCATATTTTTTTAATTGATAAACATGATGACAAGAAATATTTGTTTCGGTCCTCATTGTAGTTTTTATTTTAAAAATGTTAGTCTAACTATTAAAGTCATCCACAGTATATTCTGCCAAGCAACAAGAACATTTTAAAATAAATTCCCAGTGATAAAATATTTTATATATCTCAGTGTGCTTGTTCACGGCAATGAACCTGACCTTTCAATAAAGCCACAGGCACACACTTTGAGATACAGATGGATAATTGAAATTACTTTATTCAGAGTTGGGGCCTTAAGATATGCAATGTCAAAGGTCACACACCTGCTCACCCAATCAAATACATTGAAAATTAAATACTCAGTTGTTGCCTTCACTCACAATTTATATATATGCTTTCAAAGGACAAGATTAATCAGAAAGACTTTGACACAAACATTATTTGAGCTGCAGCTGCTTCATTTTTTAAATTAAATTCTTCGGGATCTAATAAAAGTAAAATGAAATATCCACCATGGATTTACCTGAGACGAGATTACGATAGATTTATTGGTCTTTTTGAATGCTGTGACATATTTAAATAATGGTGGAACAAAAAGACATCCATATTCACAGATGAACAGACAGAAAGACAGGCCAACAATTTGCTGTAATATTTTTGTACCAACTTTTCTAGCATTTACGTTCACAACATATCGCCCTCTTGTGGCAAAATGGTGACATTACTGTAAATGCATTAATTATTACCTGGTTTTTAATTTCACTACTTTATTTTCGTTCAGAATTAATATTTGCTATTTTCAATGAAGGAATGATTCAGTGAAAATAAAACCCAGCGAATATACCTTTTTTTTTGTTATATTCTACATTCAACTTGTCAAAAATCAGTAAATATAAATTCCATACAAAATACCAAAAGTCTTTTCAGTGAAAATTAATTCCAGATAAAATAAAAGTATTTTACAGTATTTTTGTTTGTAAATGAAATTCGCTAAATATGATCTTGTAGAATAACAATAGAACTCATTGTTTTCCTGTTAAGTTTGCATCAAAATAGCAATATTAAATACCAGTGAAAATAAATAGTTTGACAGTACCTGTATACTAGTATGAAAAAGATGAAAACATGTAAGTGACAGTAAAACCTTTATTTGATCGTGCATTAAGAATATACATAATCTCTCAGAAACAGCATTTTGACCCCAGATAAAATTGTCAATAGTAATGTTAATGACCCCCATCTTCGCAACTATTTGCAATTGTTTTACCATCAGCATTGCTATACAGTAGAGAAATGTATTGTATTTATACAATGTATCATTCTGTGGCAGTATTTTTAAACTACCGTACTTGCTCTATTGGTAGTGCATTAGCTTGCATAATTTACAGAGTTACTGTAGAATACTTTATTTTCACTATTTTTCGCTGAAGGAATGATTCAGTGAAAATAAAATCCAGCGATTATATCTCTTTCCTATACTTTACATTCAACTCGTCAAAAATCGGTGAAAATGAATTCCAGCTAAAATAAAGTATTTTATTTTTTTTTCTATTGTCAAAACAAATAATCTAATGTTTCATTAAAAAACAAACACAGTTTTTATGTGCATTTCTATTGGATATGCGCTTCTAATAGAGCAAATACGGTAATTGCAAAAGTATAAAATAAACATATGTGTTATAAGGCCAGATATCCTTGACTTTTGTCCAACTTTATCTGCTAATCAGTTCACTGTTGTCCCACCCATTCCCCGGCCCACACCTAAGTCATTCTTATATTGTGCCTCATTTCAGTCATTCACACCATGACCCACAAAGCAGCTTTGAGCTAATGGGTAGTACGTGAAACCAGTATAAATAAGAGTAAATAAATAAATACTTCATCAATTGTATTTCTATTGTATTTTGTATTTCTATTGTATTGTGAATAATCTATTGTATTGTGAATATCTATTGTATTTTTCCATAGTATTTCTATTGTATTTTAGTACTGCATGGAGTGACTATAAGTGCACTTGTCTCCAGTTGCATGGACCAACAAAGCATCTTGTACCATATCCAGACCTTGGAAGTTTTAATGTTAAGCCCCACCAATAATGATCATGCATATGTTAATTTGAGTTAAACTTTGTAAAGCTCCTGTGTAAAGTACAAATAATGACAAATATTTTGAATTTAAAATAGCCACAAGTTGATGTGCAACCGGGGTGGTATATATACCTATAATTCTCGCCCAAAATTTGTCTGCACTTTTTTTTTTATATTCTTCAATATTTCTACAGAAGAACCCTAATTTTGGAGCCAACAGACAAAATTTGAGTAAATTTTCAGTTTTTATTTAAAAACAATTGGCTATTTTTGACTTCTGAAGGAAAGTGCAGGCTATAAACTGGACTATTTTGTGAATTTGTGATGAAAAGAAGGAACTGGTTGTGAAAGGGTGAAGTATACATTCACACTTTACTCAGAACAGTAAAACAGCAACCGCTATGGAAGAAAAGTTGCCGACAGGTTAAATGATACACATTTTATCCATTTGAAAAAATGGACACAAGACATATTTACTGCTAGTTAGGAAACAACCCAGTGCCATATTCACTTGATAACCACAAAGCACAAGTGCAAAAAGAAATGATAAAGGTCTGTCAGAAAAATAAACTGTCTAAATGGCTGGGGGAAACGCAAGTTTTATTTCATCAATTTTTCAGTTGTTTGCATACTCATAAAATAATGAAATCATCATTTTTATATTCTCAGCATTATCCGTGTTCTTCACAATCCAAAATAGTTCTTGCGTTACATGATTTACATAAATCTGCATATTAATTTGCATATAATTACCATATACCGGTATTCTTTCTATTTGTAAAAAGAAGGTCACGTGATGGCAGCAATGTGTGTGAACCATTGTGGTATGAGTAAATGATCTTGGGTTTCATTCACCATAGTGGGGGAAATGGTGTGTAGCGACTTCTGTCGTGACACTTTACTTCACTTTTCAATTGTAGGTGAATCTATATTCGGGGGTGGCAACATCAACTACGCTCAGTGTTTCGTTTGGACAACCTTAAAATTTTCGGCCAGGTGTAGTCTCGTGACTTTGTCAACATGGTTCACAGCATTCGAGCGACTTTGTTGACTTTCGCCATTCTCTCATTATTCAGACAGTCAATCATTCAGCAAGATGGCTTGTAACTTACTTTGTAAAATATTTTGGTTTTGACTGCACCATTCCATTGACACCAGCACATTTCAGATCATTCCGTTATCAAACTTAACAAGGGTAAATTACAGATTATCAAAATGAAACACATTCATTTTAATACATGAGTAGGTTATTTGGATTTGTTTTAATATTTTTTGAATCACATGCAATGGAGATACTCAAGAAATGAAGGATGGTTATTGAAAACGTACACTAGATTAGTAAATAAAAAATTGGCAATCCCATGCTATAAACGACACTGTCAAGTCAAGTTTGAATAACTCTCAGAACCACAGTAATAACAATAAGTGATACAAATATTTAATAAAAGTTGTCGAAATATAAACTTACCCCGATATAATCAATCATCAGATTATGATATTGCTTGGCTCCTTGAATCCATTTCGTAACGTACCAAGCGGTTAATTGTGGATTTGCATATGGTGATGTTGTGCCATTGCCGATCCAGCCAGGAAATGTCCACGGTAAACCGTACAACTTAATATCAGGGTTACGCTGAGGAAACAGAAATAACAATACAATGTCACAGCAATTATGGCTAATAATAAAACTAATAATAATATTTATTAAACCTTCGGAACGGCAACAAAATAAAAGAAGAAAAGAAAAAAGAAATGGAAAAATCATACATACTACAATACTGTGATAAATTTAAGCAAAATATATCTCAGGCTTTCATACACATATTTTGCAAGTCATTGTCATTGTCAAGTCCCCGTCCAGTTTTTAGTGACTGTCAACATTAGTGTCAAATAATTATTTTGCCCATGACATTCAAATAATGAATTTTGAGCAAAAAAATTGATAATCAGCCATCTTGAATCAGATTCTGAATCAGATGCATGTGTAAATGTGTTACATGATATATATGTATGTCTAAAGTTTTCAACATGATCAGTCAAGGCATGTTATCAATATTGCTCTAAAATCAGCGTTTGATAAAAACAAAATGGCCATCAGGCAGCCATTTTAATTCAAATCTGTGAAAAAAATGATGTGCATCAAAGAGCCATTATGTTTAATGGACATTCTAAGTGAAAATGAAATATGTCCATACACAACCGAGATCCAGTTCCAGAATGGCAGAAATGCCCGATTTTGATGAATTGTTGGTCACCATTCAGCCATCTTGAATTTGATCAAGAAACAAATGCATGTGCTTATAGGATATATGCTTGTTTGTTTGTGTTGTGA